AATAGAAGCTTTTAAAAGATTAGATACAATAATAATATGACCCTCAGATCCTAAATATTTGGATAATGCTGAAAATTATAGCTGCAATGAAAAATCAATATTGGAATGCTTTTATGGGGAATTTCAAGTGTTCATTCATACCCCATTTGAAGATAAGTCAATCAAATTCAATGATATTATGCATGGGATAATATCAGGAAAAACATGAAACAATAATCAAAACTCCAAGAAAATATGCAGAAATATATATAGGTAATAATAAAAAGAATTATATAACCATTTCCTATGATCTTTTCAATGGACAATCTCAAGTAATGTTTTTTTAAATAGCAACACTGCTTAATAAATTATACCAATATTAAAATTAATTAAATTTTATTTTTATAAAGCATACTGACAAGGAAAGCCAGATCTCTTTTCTTCATATTCATCAAGTTATGCAAGATTTGGACAATATAACCAACACCATTGAAGATGTCGATAATCTAATAGATCAAACCAATAATGAAAGGTCAACAACATATTTTCTTTTGTTATGCCATGAAATCCTAATATATTACTGTGAAGTTTTGCTTTACAATGTTGTTTTGCCTTTATAGAAAATCAATTATAAAAGTTTTTGTTAGTATATAATAAACTTATTAGATAAAAAAAAGTTATTTACCTCATTTAGAGGTTGTTCAAAAGTATATTTTTGGTCAATATTAATCCCATAAATCCTTGAAAATTTTTTAAAGGTGCATGAGAAGTTGTGCCAAATGATCTAACATTAATAAATTCAATATTTGAAGGAATTATAACCATAAAATAATACATTCCCTTTTAAGTTGATTTTTCCTTTCTAAAATGGCAATTCTAATGATTTTAATGATAATTTGAAGCTTATTGTTCTTTTTGGTTTTTTTCTTTTGTTGTAATCTCTTCTACCTCCTCCATTTTGCCTTATCATTTGAACGACTGTGTAAAATAGTCTTTCAATAAGTATCGGCTGCAGCTTTTATAAATAATTTATTATTAACAAATATAACGACATATAAAATTTAACATGTAAGCCCATTAAGTCGGATGCAACGATCAATTGTTTAAAATAAATAAGTGACCGACCTATCAAGTTTACATGTGCGTAGGGTTTGAAATAGTGTTGGTTTCCAAAACTAGAGAGTTTCGAAAACCAAAAGGTTTCACCATAAGTTGAAACTAGCCTTGATTTTTGACTATTGACTTTTGATTTAGTTTTGACATGTAATTTTTAATTTTAGTTTTGACTTTCATCTCTTCAAAATAGTTTTGGCGACCAACACTAGTTTGAAAGAAGGGCCAAAAAAACAAAATCGGCTGATATGGTAATTACATATTTTCCCATCACTATCCTTGTCCAAAGTTGGTGCATGATGTTAATATATTGCCTGAAATGTTTGACTATATAAAAACAATCAATATATGTATAGGAAATCAATCATCCGTCACGTCACTAAAATTTATTATTTGGTGATCAGCAAGTATCACAAGTACCTGATTTGATTGGCTAAATTAATTTCGTCAAAAAGATCCTTGACGATAAATATGAATTTCGTCATGTACAATTTCGTCAATTGAATAAATTCAGCAATTTAGTCAACCATTATTAATGCCCATAGAGCACATGATGCAAAGTCATGGGTCATAGTTCGATTGTAAATATCCTTTCATGGGGTTATATCAGTTTAACATCCCACATCATTTTATTATTTTTAAAAATTCGAAGTTAAAAAATAAGAAATTATGTTTAAAAAAGATAAAAATTTAGATTTTTTATCTATTATATATTAATATTAAAATAGTTATAATAATTAAAAAAAAAAATAATAAAAAATAAAAGAATGAAGAAGTATTTTCGGAGGGTGGTTAGGAAATGTGTGAATTGTCGTCGAGTTTGTTGTTGTTGTTGTAAATGTCGGATTTGTAGTTGGTGTAATGGTGTTGTAACCTGTTCCAATGTAGATATTAACCAATAAAATTCGTGTGTATGACACTATAATTGAATTTCATTGGTTAAATTTATTGGAACCACATTTGGAATGTTCCGATTCCAATTGGAATTTATTAGAATGCTCCAATGAAATTTTATTGGAACCAT